TTAAAAAAAAGATTTTGTAATAAAAGCTTTCTCTATATAAAAACAATTTTCCTGCAGGATGACATAGTTATATCATCAAGTCACTCTGCGTCCACAGATCCAAGCCCCACCCACTCGCAGCCTCCCCCTCCTCAGGGCCCACATGGAGAGTTGGGTCTGCCATGCTGTGGCCCCGGCTCATCCCTTCTCTTTCCAGAAGCTGGGAGAGATCCAAAAGATGGGGACTGGTGTGGCCTCGGCCCCAGCTCTCACCCGAGGTGTGTGCGGAGAGAGACTAGAGCTGGCACGCCAAAGTCTCAGCTCCAGGCCTCCCACAAGACTGGGGATAGCATGCCTCTGCCTCAGCCGTAGTCCATGCCAGAGGCTGAGAAGGACGTGGCCCCAGCTTCAGCCCTTCCTGGCAGCCACGGGGAAAGCCAGGGCTGCCTACCCCCAAAGATAGAGGGGTTGGGGAGCATAGCAATTAGGGGGTGCCGCAACCTAGTAACTCCCAAAATAGCTATAGCGAAATACAGGCAGTCCCCGGGTTACATGGATCCGACTTACATCGGATCCCTACTTACAAACGGGGTGAGGCAACCCCGCGCTAGCTGCTTCCCCCCAGCAGACCAGGGAGACGCGAAGCTAGCGCCCCCCCAGCAGACCAGGGAGACGTGGAGCGGCTTTTCTCAGCAGACACCTCAGCTTGAGAATAAAGGACTGAGGGAAGTGAGGTGTGGGAGAATAAAACTGAGCTCTGGAGAAATGTTTGGCTAGAGTTTCCCCTACAATATGTACCAGTTCCGACTTACATACAAATTCAACTTAAGAACAAACCTACAGTCCCTATCTTGTACGTAACCCGGGGACTGCCTGTAAGTGTTAATCCTCTCTCTCTCAAATTAGAATTTTATTATTTCAAAATAACCAGCCCATAATTTCAAGGTAATTTCAACATAACAGACTTGCTGTGTGGATGCTCACTTTGTTATCTCAAAATAAGGGGAGTTATTTTAAAATAATCTTGTAGTGTGGACATGCCCTTTGAGAACTAGAAGAAAAGAAGGATTTCATTTTCTGTGTTTACCTGTGTCTTATTAGCGGTTCCTGTCTCTTACTATTATCTATTGTTTCAGAGATCAAGGGGAATATTAACTATAGGCTCCCTTTACTACAGGAGCCTCTGACTTTTACTAGGAGGATCCTTGGTGCTGCAAGCTAGCCCTAGAAACTGCAACTTCCATGAGTCCTTGGGAAAAAGGAGGGAAACTGTTGCTGACTTCCAGGCAGTGCAGGGAGAGAGTTTGGGGGGGGCGGGCTCCAGTTTGGAGAGAGGAGCCAGATTGCTGGTGTGGAGCCTTTTTCAGTCCAGGAGCTGCTGCTGGAAGCTAGAGCCTGCTGCTGAGAGCCTGCTGGGGCTTGGATCTAGCCAGCTGCTTCAGATTCTGTTGGGGATTGTTCCTGGAAGAGAGAAACCCTGGCTGTGAAGAGCCTGCACAGAAGTAACTGAGAGTAACTGGGGCTGTTTGGGAAAGTGCTGCCTGGGACAGAGCACAGAAGACAGATTGACTCTGGGTCTGAAGAGAGGCAGAGTGGCCAGCCCAGTGAACTAGCAGGGCTGCCAGACGGTTTCAGAAAAAATACCAAACAAAAATAATAATAAAAAAAACATGCCAGGAAAAAGTTTGTTGAGCAAAAAAAAAAAGGGGGGAGCCATGGCCCCTTAAAAACTGCGTGCTGAGGCTTTTTGGCAGCCGGCTGCCATCTTGCCTCCCTGTACTGGGCCGGACAGCTCCCCAGTGAGCACTAGGGTTGCCAGGCTGCCCCTATATTGAGCCAAACAGCCCGGGATTTTTGCCTCCTGGCCCATAAAAAAATCAGGAAATACCTGACATTTTAAGTGTCCAGTATTTTCTGAATTTTTTTACCGGACAGGAGGCGAAAATACCAGACTCTGGCTGCCATCTTGCCTCCCTGTACTGGGCCGGACAGCTCCCCAGTGAGCACTAGGGTTGCCAGGCTGCCCCTATATTGAGCCAAACAGCCCGGGATTTTTGCCTCCTGGCCCATAAAAAAATCAGGAAATACCTGACATTTTAAGTGTCCAGTATTTTCTGAATTTTTTTACCGGACAGGAGGCGAAAATACCAGACTCTCCAGTTCAATACCGGACACCTGGCAACCTTATGAACTAGAGCTGCTGTCATTTGGTGGGGTCAGATCCAGGAATAGAGAGATTTTGCTGCTGGTTGCCTGCATGGACTTTACATGCACACAACGTGCCCAGTGTTGTCTCCACACCTGCTGCAATGCTTCAAGCATGCCCACACAGGCAAGTGTCTGGGACTCTGAGATCCACAGGAGGGCACCCTTTGGGGTGGGAAAAATGGTGGAAGTAATTTTATTCAATTTTAGTCTGTTACCCACTTGAAGAAACAGGTTTTAATTAAAGGTGTGTTAAATCTAATTTAATTAATTAGTTTTATATTATTTCTAATTGTTGTTTTGGGGTTAGATCCAAATTATTACTGGAATAATTTTATTCCTGGAGATTCCCAGTGCACACCAGTAAGTGTGTACAGAGCACTGCCACGGTATATTCCTTTAGCAGCACAGGGCGGATGGGGATCCCCAACTATCTAACATCATCACTGGGGTACTCAGGGTCTCCTAGAATATTAAAAGCATCAGGCCCACAGGTGGACGTGGCCTGCTTCCAAGTAATGCAGGGAGGAAAGAGGGTCATGCACAGGGCAGAGGTGAGCAGTGTGCTCCTAGAGGTGTATAGGACGAAGCTGCCGCTGGACAGTTCTTACTGGCATGGGCCCTGCTCTTAAAGACACAACATGCACTTCCAACAGCAGTGGCCAGGGAACTGGGAGGTGGCTGATGAGAACAGGGAAGACACCTGTGGTAGGGTGTGGGGTGACCATCTTTCATAAGGCAAAAGGGGATGACGTGCTGGAGCCCCTCAGTGGCCCTGCCCCCTGCTCTTCATCTTCCCTCCAAGGTCACACCCCTTGCTCTTTTGAGAGCAGCCTGTTGGGTGTAATGAGTTTGTCAGGCCTCACAGGCATTGCTGTGACAGAGCAGTCAGCCCTTGCTCTGCTCCCTCTATTCCCTTGAAGCCCTGCACCCTGGCTGGGTCAGAAACCAGTCAGGCCATGGTAAGCACTCCCGAGGGAACTGAGGTCTCTGTGGGCAGCCCTAGACCCTCCACCTGCCAAAGCCAAGGGCCGGTAGACGGTCTGAGGCTCCCCGAACACCCTGGGCGGCTCTTACAACTCTGAATTCCAGTCTGTGGGGGTGGGGCCTCAGTGGAGAGAGGAGACATAGGGAGTTGATTGAGGGGGCTAAGAAAGATCCACCTCAGCCTCTCCCATCAGGAAGATGCTGGGGCCACCCATGAGCTTCAGCTCAGGAAACCTGTAACAAATGTTCTGGAGTCAGTCAGCCCGGGACTGCGATGGGAACTCTGAATTTCAGGACAGCCCCAGCCTTGGGCAGGATCAGCCCCTTTGTGAGCGTTTGCCTGGGAGGGGAATTCCAGATGCCATCCTGTCTGCCTGTTTACAAATGGGCTCAACGTATCACTTTCTGATAAACGGCTCTGTTCCTGGAAATGATGCCTCAGCCAGCAAGGAACAGAAAACTTAAAACTGACTTTCAATTTCTTTTTTACCCTCAGCTTAGCTGTCCCTTCCCACACATTTCACCAGCAGGTGTTGTAATCAAGCAGTTTGTCAATATCTTGCAAGCAGTTTGAAATGGCCTTTTATTCTCAGCTCACTTCAGCAAAACCAGGCAGCCCTTAGCCAAAGCTCCTGGAAAGCCAAGAGGGATTTGGTCTGAACCCAGACTGTAGGATTTGTCCAGAAATGAATAAGCTTTGGCACTGGTGCTGGGATACCAGTTTTACCAGGTAATTTTCCATGGAAGGGGAGGAGGGAATTAGAACCAAAGATTCCAGTCTGAGAAAAGTCTATTTAAGGAATACAAATTGATCAGACTCTTCATCTTTGTCTGGCATGACACACCCAAAAAGATGGCTCAGGACCCAAGTTAGAGTAAAAGATCTTCTCTGACTTGCCTGTAATAATAGTTTTCAGGGTAACTGCAAGAAGTTTTAGTGTATTAGAACAAACTGCATTTTCTATTCATTTTAATTCTGTAACTTTGATCTGTCTGTTTTCACTTGCAGCCACTTAAATCCCACTGTTTGTACTTAATAAAAACACTTTTGGTTATTTTCAAGCCAAGTGTAAGTAACTGTTAACTGGGAGGAGTGCCCAGTGTGCATGTCTCTCTTACGTTGATAAAGGGGGCTTGTTGGCATGAGCTTTCATCATGTACAACTTTTACACCGAGAAAGACACATTTATTTGGGGTTTTGATCCCTTTGGGTTTCCTGGGTGTTGTGCCCTAGAAGGCATCCTGACAAAGATGAAGTGGTTCAGTGTCTGCATTGCTCTTTGGGGAAGAGAGGGGGTTACCCCATCTCTGTGCCTCTTGGGGACACCAGAGGATCTGGCCCAATGGGACAGGGTAGTGGGGAGCCCCAGAGAGCAAGAAGGCAGGTGTCAGTGCCATAAGCAGAATACTGGGGAACAGTCCTAAGAGCTCTTCTGTGACTGCACACCATTATAGACATGTTCAGAATTCTTTACTTCTCTTTGCTCATGCACTTCTGCTGTTATTTACACTAAAGATGAACAGTAAAAGTCTTTTGAGATGCCAGACATTGTCGATGACACTGTCGATGACAAAGTAACATTTCTGTCATTTGGACCCCTTTTATCTGGGCTTTCAAGTAACAATTGTGTCAACACTGTTGCCCCCTCTGCATGTAGATTGCAAGTTTTGGAACTGACACTCTCTGTGCCCAGAGAGGAGGCAAACAAGAAAAGGAGAGGAGAAGCTCATTCTTTCCCTCACAAGCTGCAGGGCCGTAGGAGTGTCCAATGTCACAGCTCAAGAAGCAGGGGGAGGAGACATTAAGCTGGTGAAAGTGAAACCACTTGTAGCTGGCTCTTTCATCATATGTCAGTGCAAATTGTGCCACAGTCCGGGACAGATAGACTTGCTCTCTGAGGGATAATTTTGGGGGTCACTTCTGCCCCCTTTGTGCCTGCAGCTAAGACTATGGAATTTTTTAGGAAAGAAAACGAAGAGCCTTCACCAGAGTTTGTTCTTAGCAAGGACGATATCACAGGTAATTCTGGGCAGCATTTTCATCTGTTCTCGTTCCGGTAACTTAGGTCCTTCCTTGTTTGTAGAAAACATGCTGGGAGAGGGGTGGGGGGCAATGTCTCCCCATTCTGAAATGGAACTGAGAGCATCTGGAGCCAACTGCTCCAGCCATTGGGAGGCACCAAAGCAAAGCAGAAATTTCACGTCCTTAAGGTACTTTACAGAATTTGAAACCTACTATTTGGTGATGTGGCTCCATGGAGGTTCCTGTTCAGTGCACGTAGCCACCAAGTGAGCAGCAGCGGGGAGCAAGCAGCCTGCCTGGACACAGCTCCCGCTTCTCTGGGGTCTGGAGACAGGACTGGTGGGGGAGGGGTGGCATTAAGGAAGTAGATGGAAGCCTTTAGAGGCCACATAAGTGCCATAGATCGGGGGGGGGGGGGGGGTGCCCCCTTCACCGGG